CCATGCAGTCCAGCAAAGGGTCTCCCCTTCTTTGGTTTCTTCGCAGGCCCAATGGAAACCGACTCGGTCGTCTTGAGGTTGGTTGAAATGAGTAAACCACTCATTCAATGAGGATTTTAGAGACAACATGGGACAACCCTATAGCAATTCAACTCATTGTCAAGGGCTTGCAAGTAGTTGTCAGAACTAGGGGTGGAGGGAGTCCAGGACAAGGGATTCGTAGATACGTGATACGTGTATAAATCGGACTGCATGTATCCATGGTTGCATGCTGGCTTGCTTGATTGCTCTTTTGTGCGATCTTTACATGGACAACATGCAAACTTGTTTTTTTACAGCCTGCGATTTGGGTGTCTGCAGGGGTACGACCGTGGGGTCGCATGGCGCATTAGGATCCTGAGAGCAGCTGTTTTTTTTGTTTTAAGCCTGTCACTGCTTAGCTCTACAGAGGAGCAGGTACTCTGGTAGGTCCAATCAAGCCTCCAGTAGCAGCGTGCTCCTGTGTTGAAAAGATTAAACAAATTGAAATTGAACTGGTTAGCATGTGCATAGGCGTGAGAGCAAGCAGACTGATGGCCACGACGCCCAGGATTGCCAGGATACAGCAATCCCAACATGCGAGCACTCAACACCACAAGTTCGGAGACTGATTCTTAGAGCTTGGTTGCTCTTTGACAGTTGAACGTTGATTTGAAGAGTTACTTTTTGCCCACGAACCAGCCAAGAACAGTTCTGTTCAGCGTGTCAAGGACCCACCCAGGCGTTCTTGAATCTGACAAGCGGTTGAGCCATGCCTCCCTCACAGGCGAGTGATTTGGGAAAACGGTGCGCAGGCGCAAGTGTTATTTACATATCTCTGCGCATAAGCAAACAGCACCGAATATATATATTTTTATAACATATTATCAGTTTACAGGAGGAGTTGCTTGACTGATATGTTTGCCAAGGTGTTCAGTGATCCTCGGGCCATGTAAGGTTGGGGGTCCCTCTAATGGTGGAGACACCCAAATCAAATCAGACATCAACAAGCTGCAGGGCATCAAGCTTCTGACACGTGTTGGTTCTCATCATTAGGGAGAATCAGTCCGATAGCCTTGTTTTGCTAAACAATGTGGCCATTCAGAGCTAATGCATGCGGGTGTGTGTCTGTTCGGTACTCATTTTCCCGGGTTGTACAGGGAAACCACAAGGACAACAGCACTTTTGGGGTCCAAATCCGAGTTTTTGAGAAGCCGTTGCCCATGTTTGCCAGTCGAAAAAGTCTCGAGGATGATGGTGGAGAGGCTGAAGGCCGCCATGGACTCCTGTGGCTTTTGCTCCTGCAGCTTGCAGCAGCTTGGCGCGAATGGCCCAAGGCGTCGGAGAGGCTGCCGCGACTCTGGTGTGTGTGTGTGTGTGTGTGTCTGTCTGTGTCGGAAGTGTAGCTTGGTGTCTCATGTTCATACTTGTCTGCAGCCAACCAGTTCGAGTGGTGGATGATGGTGGAAGCTTAAATCATGGTTCCGCAAGCTTAGCCCTTGGCTTTTTCAGGTGTTTTGGGTAAGCGCGTTCTCAATATCAAGCAGCTTGCGTTGTTCCAATAGCCATAAGTCCGTCATCTTGACTTGGATCATTTTGGCAAAAACATCAACAAGGCCAAGTATTCCAAGATGAGTTGGGAATGTTACCTTGGCCCCCAAAAGGAGTGAGCATTGCACCTTTTACTGGCACATTCCAAGTGTTTGCTTCCATGGCAAGGTAGAAGCTCCGACTGTTGCCGTTTGCCTGCCAGCGATCTGAAATCGGGCGTCTATGGCGAATTCTCGTGTCTTCCCTCTAAGCACCCTACCCTTGACAAGGGCGTCTCCACAATACGTAAATAGCCGCAGCTTTGGGCTTCGAGCATCCGAAAGAATTCGAATCCGGAAAACGCGGGTCCCGGTCCCATTGGGTGTGGGGTCCGACTTGATTTCCATCGCAAACGAGGGCATTCACACGTGGGAAGCGTTTCAGAACGGCCAGTCTTGGGTTGCTGTCTTACAGAGCAAAGTGTTTCAACAAATTAGTGCCCCATGCAGCCGCTTCGTTGAGGATTCCGGTATCTTACTTTTCGCTGGGAAAGACGGAAACCGAAGCAACATTGAAGGGGCAGCGTTCGTTGTTTTTTAAAGAGGGGACACCGAAGCTCAATATATACTCCCTGCAGACTAGCATGGACCCCAATCGCACAATTTGCAGTAGTCGATTTGAGTGTTGGATGACCTTTGTTTGGATTGCCCCTCGATTTGCAGGGCACAGCATTGTATACTTTGGGTGGACGAAATACGGAGCAGATACCTGAGCATCGTAGTTGTTCTTTTGCCCGGAATTTGGGCCAAGCGGATCCCCTGGTAAAGCCGACAAAGGTTGAGCGCCCCAGTCCCCATTTCAGGAACCTGTAGTAAGTCTCTTTTGTCTTGAGCCCATGTCGAAGGGAAAAAGCCAAGGCATTACTTCGACTTCGGAGCCCACTGCGTGCTCTGCACGTTGAGCGCCACCTGGGAGGTGGTGCATACCCCCGCGCCCGCGCCAAGTGCCAGCGGCTGCGCCAACACCTGCCCCATCTGCCAAGAGGTTCGACCAGCCACCTGGTTGCACGGCATCCAAGTTTTGGGTGTACTTGTCTTTGGTTGGATTCCTTGTTTTGGGGTCGGTAGCTGGGGTCGTTTCTGATCTGATTTTGGAGGAGCGTCTTGGGCGGCAGTCTTGCCAGGGCACTGTTCGTGAAAGAGGCGGCTCTCTTGTCAAGAAGATCCCGAAAGGCTTGCGGGGCCCGGTTTGCAGAGGGTGCTCCATGCTGGGGTTAAAGGGAAGCCCAATCGAACAGATCCCGACAAGTCAACCTTACAAAGGGGGCCCTTGAACTTTTCGGCTCCCTGTCGGGTCACTGGTTGCGGGGTAGCAACCCAGCCGTCTTTCCAACACGCTCAGGTCGTCGTGTTGGTCCCCTGCGGCCATGTGCTGTGCAGCGGGTGTCAGTCCCAGAACCACTTGCAGCAATGCCCCCTGTGCCGCAGCATCATCACCGCCACCACCAACGGCCTCTTCATGGACTAGTGGACTAGATCTATCGATGGCGAGGCCCGCGAAACATGAGAGCATTCCACTTAGCGGGGTGGGCGTGCGTATTCTTTGGAGTTGGTACCGTGTGGGGTTGTCTTAAAAAAAGATGCTCCACAGGGGAACCATTCCTTTCAATTGGGTTCCCCGAGCCAAAGCCACTCGCCAGGTCTAAGCTAGGTGCATTGCGCAGTGCTTGCTTTCCAAAGGGTTCGTTGAAGACTCTCCTTAGCCTTCCTTTGCTGTACCCAATAGCGGAAATCAAAGCAGGAAGCACATCTATGGCTACGGTTCGGGAAGCAATTGGGATGTGGAACACATGATATGGCGGGCAGTCTCAACGATCAATGGGCAATTAGGGGATCTTTGGACACTGAAAACACTGTTTGATTGGGGCGAGAGCCGTTTTCTTGCAGGTTTGGTGTTTCCGAGTCGCACCGTGGGTTCCTTGCAGTTCACTCTCCGCAGCTTTCTTGCCGAAAGCCGCACAGACTGGGCGAGGCTTCGTTACGCGAAGGGTGTGTGGGAAGCATGTGAAATCCAAGCGATGGTGAATTGCAGTAAATTGTGCTGATGGGGAGTTCGACAACGAATCGAAACTGTCTCATAAAAGCGGCATTCACCCAGGTGTGTCCAGCTTCTTGAGACATGTTGAACAATTGCTCACCATGTTCACTTACATTTTCCACCAAAGGAGTCGATGGCAACTCGTTCGACGCATTTCTTAACATGGGAGTTCATCTGGACAAGCATTTCACGACCTCACAAAAGCGGGCCCATGAAAGCGGCTCCCCTTGTAGGTTGGAGAATTCACTCAGATTCGCCAATTTAAAGGGACGGGTCTTTTTTTTCAGGCTTCCCGAAAAGGGAAGCCAAGCCCGAATTGAGTCTGTTTGCCCTAGCGATTCTCCTGCAACCTTTGAGTGAGAGGAGGAGTCGATGTTCATCTTGCTGTAATTGTCCTGCTGCAAAGGGGATGACACGCTGGGTACACTGCATACATTTGTAAGTTGGGGATTAGCAAGAATCTCCACACATCCACGGCATGCCACGCGGTGCATGGGTTTGTCTCAAGACCGTTTTCCTCTACAAAGGACAACAGTTAACTGACTGTGCGCGTGTACGTGTGTCTGTCGACAGAACAGAAACAAATGGATGGTGCCCTTTTGATTTCCCTTAGAACTGACACCCTAAAACCCACACACCCGCTCAGATTCCCTGCGTCTTGCCCTTGAGGCAAGCTGCGCAGCCGTGCAGTTGCACAGCTTTGTGTGGCCGTGCGCATCGGAAAAGCGCGGATGCGGGGCCCACTCGTGGAATGGTAGCAACGCAGTGGGGCCCATTTTTGAAAATCACCAGCGATGTGTATACGGCTGCAGTTGTCTGCGGCTGGAAGCCCATTGAACTTTCAAATGGGCTGGGTCTGTATCAGACTGCATGTATGATAATGAGAAGGGAGGTAGGTGTAGATGTCCCACCTGACTCAAAGTAGACTGTTCAAGTGCAAACTGTTAGATCGATGCTGGCCCCTTCAAACTCTGAAAGCCACAAATACAGACATGATTTATGTATATAAGAGCCCCAATACCCTTATTACGAGTACTTCGACCCCCCAAAGAACACATGACACCTGCGGAAGGATTTCCTTGGATTCTGAGTTTCATGACCCTCAGCTTTCCTCGCTTATACCCACGTCTCCGGCTTGTTCTATTTTTAACAGTCGTGGGAAGTAAACAGGGAGCTCGAACAAGGAAAGTCTTCCAACAGCCTCCTGTCAGCTTTCATGATTGTGGGAGGCAGGGTATTAGATTCAAACATAGTTGCCGATGATTCTGAGTTTCATGGCCCTGCAACTTTTCCGGTGTCATTCACTCATACCCACGTCTATGGCTTTGCTTCCACCCAATTTGTCCGATGGTGAGGCATGTTCTTGACCATGGTCGAGCTGAAGCAGTCGGATTTCGTCCACCTGGACGACCCCACCAAGGAGAAGCTCAGCCGCCTGCGGGGGAAGCCCAGCGGGCTGACCCTGTAGCTCCAGGAAAACCAAAGGGAAGCCGAAGGGGCATGTTCTTGTTCAGGGTGCCCCACTATTTTTCGTTCTGTATAAAGGGAACCCAAAACGAAAACACCATTTTTGGGGGGTGCTTTAAAAAACCATACAAATTTGTGATTGTTGCCTCCGGAGCGCGAAGTTTTTGTTGGGGCCGTGTGTCTTTCTCTAGGGGACCCCCCAAAAAGGTAGATTTCCTCCTAAAACGTTTGGCTCAGGATCTTCATGTGATGCGCCTGCCTTTCACTCGAACAGCCAACATGCTCCTTCCTCTTCGGCGTAGCGGTTTTGATTTTGGCTTCAGAAATGACTCTTGTTCCACACGTGTGTGCCCAAGATAAGAAACCCTCTGCCCAGGATAAGAAACCCTGGTTGCTCAGTAGCCCTTTTTCCAAGAAACTGGGTCTTTCAAAAACAGTCCTCTATCCTTATGTCAGTTTCCCTTGTTGTAGCGGTGGCTTCCTCCCACTGAGGATTAGGATTAGGGATCCCATGTAATCATGGAAACTGACATAAGGGTTTGGGAAGATGCAGTCCCTTGAAAAGGCCCCGGTCCTCCTCCATGATCGTATGCCTGCCCCCCAAGATCATTTTCCCCACTAGAAGGGGTTCTAGCCACCTTTGATTTGTATGGACCTCCAGACGAATCCGCAGTTAACCTCCCACCAATTAACATGGAACCTGACAAGGGGGTGCTGGAAGACCATGTTCCTTGTTTAGACATCCCCCTGTTAGGTTCCATGTGAAAAGGGCGGCAGGCTAATCAGCCAGTTCGTTGTTTTTTTCCCGGTCGCAGACCAAGCAACACGAGCCCAGGGTGGGCATGGACCTACGTGGAGGTGACAAGGGCTTGAGTGTTGTGCAGCGCTCAGATGAGTGTGTTCCCATTTGCCGGCTGCTGATTTCCTTGGAATCCAGTCATTGGGGTTGGCATCATGCACCATGAATCTTCAATGTCTAAATGTGTTTTTCCTCTCTTTTTTCCCGTTCAGGAGGGGGGCGTTTTTGAGGATCGTCTCGTGGCGGATTGCCACAGTTTTGAGACCCGAGGATGTGCAGCTGCAGTCTGGCACATTTATCCTCTTCGTCGGGGGCCTGGAGCTGTTGCCACTGGCACTTTTCACGCAGGTGTCTTCTGTTGCCCCCCCCCCCCCGTCAGTTTTGGGAAACTTTGTGGAGTGCCTAAAGGGTAGAACCAACCTTGGAGGTTTCTTTCTTTGGTCTAGAGCCACCTTGTGTCCTGTGACTGGTGCTTCTGGAATCCCCTTATGATGTGTTATGATTTGCCATGGTTGGCTGGGAATCAACCACTTGGGTATCATAGGGGCAGCCATTTCCACCACGAGTAACCCAGGGACCCAAGCCCCCAAGATCATAGCTGCTTTAGGACTGGCTTCCACGTAGGGGGTGTAAGACGCATGGTGCACACAGAGTGTACGCGTCGCAATGACGTTTGTCTATTGTGTTGTCTTGGGTCCGAAAATAGCCTCTTAGGAGTTGCTGAATTCCCCCCCCCCCCTGGATTGCGGTTGGACTGAAATAGCTGTAAAAACATATCGTCTCTTTACACCCCCTGTGTCGCCTTGTGCCGCCAGTCTCCGAAATTTGACAACCCCCATTCGGTGGTTCAGACCCATCCGCTGGCTTAGGCCGCTGTGCTGATGCACGCCTGGATTTCCCGGGCGGCACTCCGCCAGGAGTTCGCTTGAATTGACGGTTGAAAGGGCGCCCGTGAATCTTTGGCCCGCGTTTTTGGGTGTCTTTTTTGGGGGATGTGTGGGGGAACCCCTCAAAATGGCAGTGCTTTTGGTTTCCCTCCAAAACCACCTAAAAAGGGGTACCTTCAAGGCACACCCATATCTCTCGAGTCCAAGTGATGAGCCCAAGCCTCTTGGTCACAACGTGTGAATCACCTTACTAAAACAAGCAGAGACTGGGGAAGTGGTCATTTCACATCTCCCAACCATTCCCACACTCTTTCCCAGTCCCTACGTCCCTACTCATTTGTTTTGTTTCCATTTGCCATACCCCAGGATTTGATTCATAACATGGGTCCGCTTCGTTTGGTCGGACGCCATGCCATGCGGGGAACCTCGCGATGGACCCCAGCCCGGGATTCGCCTGGTTGCGACTTCGGGCCCCATGAACGTGCGCTCTGCTGGCAAGCCCTTGATTTCGGGTGGGGAACTGTTGACACTCATTCAATGTTTTGTTGTCTTGCTGTTTAATATAAACCCAAACCCAGTTCTGGTAAAAACCCAAACCCAGTGTTTTTCCTCTTTGACTTACAACAAAAATAAGAACAAATACAACACAGGTTTTGTGGTTTTCAAGGTCTTTGCACGGTGCGAGGCAAAGAGAACTGAAGCCAAACATTGGGGCTAGAAGGCGTTGTTTGGGACCGGACTCAACCGACAGGTTTGGCAGAGCGAATTGCCAAGTATCATGTGCACTTGGAACATGGATAAATTAGCTCAGCATCGGCAATCGATCCTGCTCTCACGCTTTGCAAGCGACTTCCTCTCCTGTGGGTCCTCTTTTGATAGTGTTAGATCTTTGGACTGGAATCTAGAAATTGTGTACATGTTGCTTGGCAAAAGCTGAGGTAGTTTCTGCTCATGCCTTGCAGGATGTTCTCAGTCATTCTAGGAGTGACCCAAAAGGAAAGCCATGGTTTCCCATTAACTTCGGGGTGCACCGCCAAAAGTGCAGTGTGGGGTGCATGGCATAATCATATGTGCAGCCCCTGTAGTCAACCAAATTTGCCACAGTTTCAGATCTTGGGCCCAACCACTTTTGGGGGCAAATTCACTCCACGGCTTAGGTTGCAACTAAGGACCCGAATACCCTTGGGTACATCAAAGCAATCACACTCGGTCGGCAAGGATTGATGCGCGCGGGCACCCAGGATTCCAGCAAGCTCGATAGGGGCGCCGAATCGCTCACGCTCCCTTCCAAAAAGGGTTCACCGTTTTTTGTTTTTTTTTAATGCAATGAGACATCGCAGAACTCCCATTCGGAAGGAAGGGGGGAATTGCCCCATGTAAGAGACAAGCCTGGGGATCGCTCATGGGATTTATAGTGAACATATTTGTTGTTTGCGAACTATCTCTCAGATTCATGGCAAAAACATGGGAAGAACAAAGGGGCCCTTTCTGCAAGCGGGAAGGTTCCTCCCACGAGGTGCCAGCCGATGTCAAACTTGCGTGCGGGTCCGCATCCTCTTAGGTTGCCTTGAACGCAGTCTTGCAATCATGGAGTCTGTGCGGACTCTGTTAGTTCTTTGTTGACGCAGGTAGAGAGGTGGTCCTGGGAGACACCAAGACCCCATTTGCTATGGGCCCCTTTAGATAACCATTCCGGAGAAACGACTATAGAGGTGAACGACGCGATGGTGCCATCAATGAATTCGTGGCGATTGATGGCTGACCTTGTGTTTGACATTGGACAGATTGCATGCCCAATTCAACGCGATTACATATCACATGTGCGCCATTTACAGCCTTATATAACATGCTAACTGTGTGTGTGTGTGTGTGTGTGTGTGTGTGTGTGTGTGTGTGTGTGTGTCTGTGTGTCTGTGTGTGTCTGTGTGTGTCTGTGTGTGTCTGTGTGTGTCTGTGTGTGTCTGTGTGTGTCTGTGTGTGTCTGTGTGTGTCTGTGTGTGTGTGTGTCTCTCTGTGTGTGTCTCTGTGTGTGTCTCTGTGTGTGTCTCTGTGTGTGTCTGTGTGTGTCTGTGTGTGTCTGTGTGTGTGTCTGTGTGTGTCTCTGTGTGTGTCTCTGTGTGTGTCTCTGTGTGTGTCTCTGTGTGTGTCTCTGTGTGTGTCTCTGTGTGTGTCTCTGTGTGTGTCTCTGTGTGTGTCTGTGTGTGTGTCTGTGTGTGTGTCTGTGTGTATCTGTGTGTCTGTGTCTGTGTGTCTGTGTGTCTGTGTGTCTGTGTGTCTGTGTGTGTCTGTGTGTGTCTGTGTGTGTCTGTGTGTGTCTGTGTGTGTCTGTGTGTGTCTGTGTGTGTCTGTGTGTGTCTGTGTGTGTCTTTGTGTGTCTGTGTGTGTCTGTGTGTGTCTGTGTGTGTCTTTGTGTGTCTGTGTGTGTCTGTGTGTGTCTGTGTGTGTCTGTGTGTGTCTGTGTGTGTCTGTGTGTGTCTGTGTGTGTCTGTGTGTGTCTGTGTGTGTCTGTGTGTGTCTGTGTGTGTCTGTGTGTGTCTGTGTGTGTCTGTGTGTGTCTGGGTGTGTCTGTGTGTGTGTGTGTGTGTCTGGGTGTGTCTGTGTGTGTCTGTGTGTGTCTGTGTGTGTCCGTGTGTGTCCGTGTGTGTCCGTGTGTGTCCGTGTGTGTCCGTGTGTGTCTGTGTGTGTCTGTGTGTGTCTGTGTGTGTCTGTGTGTGTCTGTGTGTGTCTGTGTGTGTCTGTGTGTGTCTGTGTGTGTCTGTGTGTGTCTGTGTGTGTCTGTGTGTGTCTGTGTGTGTCTGTGTGTGTCTGTGTGTTTCTGTGTGTGTCTGTGTGTTTCTGTGTGTGTCTGTGTGTGTCTGTGTGTGTCTGTGTGTGTCTGTGTGTGTCTGTGTGTGTCTGTGTGTGTCTGTGTGTGTGTGTCTGTGTGTGTGTGTGTGTGTGTGTGTGTGTGTGTGTGTGTGTGTGTGTGTGTGTGTGTGTGTGTGTGTGTGCGTGTGTCTGTGTGTGTGTGTCTGTGTGTGTGTGGTGTGTCTGTGTGTGTGTGTGTCTGTGTGTGTGTCTGTGTGTGTGTCTGTGTGTGTGTGTCTGTGTGTGTGTGTGTCTGTGTGTGTGTGTCTGTGTGTGTGTCTGTGTGTGTGTCTGTGTGTGTGTCTGTGTGTGTGTCTGTGTGTGTGTCTGTGTGTGTGTCTGTGTGTGTGTCTGTGTGTGTGTCTGTGGGTGTGTCTGTGTGTGTGTCTGTGTGTGTGTCTGTGTGTGT